CTATGCTCGACCTTGCACTTTTGTTCAAAACAATTTTAAGAACATTTTGTCCCACGTTTTGATTGGCTGATCAAAGCGATTAACGCGAGCGAACAATTTTTTTTCGACTTTCGGCGTCTTGTTGTCTATTTTGTATACTTGTTGGCTTTCCAAAGTCATTGTTTGTTTTACAATAGCTAAAATTGGGAGTCTTAGGCCTACTGCTTGTTTTCAAACTATATAATAGAAGAAAAGAAGGAGAAAAAGCCAGAGTATATGTACTTAACATCTAAACATGACACAGGTGTGCGTAAATATAGCAAAGCCACGGAATTTAATACAAGTGAGCAAGTGACCTCAGTGTACCTCAAGCCCAAGCCAGTTAAAAGTGAGTTTTTCATGTTTATTGGATTTAAAAAAGATAACTCCTCCACATGATTGTGCATTTTTATAACTATCCCATGCTTTTTCATCCGAAATAATCATTGTTTTATCTTCAAACTCCGAGTTTATCCGCCGTATAGCGATTTAAACGGTCTCAAGAGACCGTATAAGTTTACACGGTGGATAGGCAAAATTTAACCGGTGGATAGCGCTAAACGGGCTTGATACAACGCGATTTCTCGAGCGTTTAAATTTTATCCGGCGGATAGCGAGTTAAACGGTGGTTAGCGAGTTAAACGCCTTTGATACAACCGGCCCCAGATAACTAAACGGAAGTTACTAGTAATATTACCGATAAACGCACGAAATTCTACAGAGGATCGAATTGCACGCTTCCCGATTGAATTTTTGTGTTGCAATGGCAACAAACGATCATTCAGGCTACCCATTGAAGTGGTTTAAAGATCAGAATGCTGCAAGACATGCTTGGGAATGTGCTATTTGTTTGAAAGTTTTAAAAGATCCCGTCCAAGTGCGAGACTGTGGACATCAATTTTGTTCCCTCTGCATTGACGACATTCTCAAGTAAGTTTCACTTTCGCAAGTTTATAAAATCTTTAATATATATTATTTCAAAATGGAGTGTTTCTATGGGTTGTTATTCCAACGGCTCAGACGAGTGACGATAATTACACTATTTATAATATGTTGACCAATTTGTTTTATGTGTTATTTTTTGTATGTTTATATTTCTTTTTGTTCAAGGTATAGTTTACAGGTACAATAAATGTATATTTAGCCCTTAGTATATATGGCCCCCTCCCCCATACATGTAATATATAAAGCCCATCAAAAAATGCTTACAAATGAAGCCCAGGGCTTTATATTTGGAGGCTTTATATTTGGAGGTACTGTGTTTTCAAACTCAACCAAATTACAAAGACTTGATATTAATTAAGACAGCTGTTTAATTGAAATATAATTAAAATATATATTTCAACAGGGCAGATCCTCGGTGTCCATCTTGTAGAATTGAAATATCTGATGCAATGGTATGTTGTATATTAAATGAAATTTTGCTATGTTTTATCTGCTGGTTAGTGGCAGTGCTCTTTAATATGACCAAATAATTTCTAGATTTTTGAAGACCATGCTGCAAGAAGGTTGATCAAACAGCTGGAAGTGAATTGTTGTAATGAAGGCTGTGGTTGGCACGGGCATCTGAGTGCACTATTACAGGTATATATTGCAGTGGCGTAACGCTCATTGGGTACAGTAGGGTTAGTTTAAAAACTAAGGGCCCCCGACATGCAGTTAGGGCCCCCCATCAGCCACAGCCTAATTATTCTCCCAGAAAATTAGAAAACGTAAAAAATGCATGTTGGGAATAAATGAATCCATGGGAAAATGCAAAATTAATAATGCTAAATAGTAAAACCTCCATCGACAACGGTAGCTGATTTGTTACATGTGTAAAATTTACAAAATTCGCTACGAAACGACCACCATTTTGTTTTTCGCAAGCAGTGTTTCCACTTTTCAAAACTGAAATTTCTTTCAAATTTTCAAGAAGGAAATTTGCGAGTCGATTCTTCCTCAATCTCGTTCCCCGAGCCTGCGATCCTTGGGAAGGAAACGAAGGCTCTGCGATAATCCGAATCAGACATACAGAAAACTGTATGTCGACCGAACTGCGCATGCGTTAGCAAAAGCAAAATAAATTGTTTGAAATATTTTATTGTTTCGTCTATAAAATGATGATTTTTTCGGGGTTTTGGCAGAAATGTTGATGTTCTTCATAGTGGGATACAAAAGGTGTGTTAGCGACTGAATAAGGAAAATATTGCTTGTGAAACAGGGTCAGTATAGAGCCGGCAGGAGCCGCGAAGAGTGCTGTTGTTGAAGAAAAATGTCACAATTAATTGTAATCTTCTCCATTCACCTCTGTGTCAGTTTGAAAAAGCTTTAAATGTAGAGACATTTGTGGTTCCTCCAGCATAATTTAGCCGTTTAACGCTATTATGTTTCTAATGGTTGAAAGAGCGCGTGGAAAGGGCAATTTAAGAACAAAAACAATTACAATGTACTGTGTGTTTATAATTGATTAATTGCTACTGTAGTATTAAAATACCTGAAAAGAGTCTCAATTCTAATATTAAGTCGGTTATAAACCTTGATAATATTAAAGTTTTCAGAAGATTTGTATATCAGAGGAATATTAAAAGGAATTTAGACTTATAAAACATATCATTAAAAATATGAATATAGTGAATTCCATGTTTATATTGTGTTATCATCTCTAGAAATTAACAGTTTATAAACCATTTTTTAACTGCCCTTATAGCTTTCCTTATATGCTTTAATATTTGCCAGCAGTTTAGTAGGTTAGGGATGCAACAGCACTTTTCAAATTATTGAATTATAACCAAATTTTGTGTCTGGATAGGAATTACTATTAAAGATTTACAGTTTGTAATGATAAAGTTGGAGCAAGTTAAGTTGCAATGTGCCTCAGATTGCCCTACTTTGTTATTCTAAGCTGTTTAACGACAGAATTTTTTCTCGTCAAGGGGAAAGTATTGGACTTGGTATTTGAATGGGTTAACCAGTCCATCTGCATATCTACCTATCTTTGGTTAATTATCTCATTAGATCATTAAGCCACAATGCTCTTTAGTGCACCCTATTTTTTTATATTCACTGTACTTCTGGACAGGGATGGATCCAGCATGATCTGATGGTGGTGGTGGTGGGGGGGGTGTGTGCTCTGGTGCCGACTGCAGAGTTGTGTCGGTCATGTGTGCCACCCGCCCATCAACTACTCAGTATTTGAATTGTAATTGTTGTTCACAGTTCACTTATCATCATGTTATTACTCAAATTACTGTATCTCATTTTGTCTTGTTTGCTTTATCATGAAAAATAGCCCCCTCAGCCCAGGGCTAGGGGTGCACACACACCCCTGCACCCCCCAGTAAATCCATCCCTGCTTCTGGACAATATTTCTCATCAATGGCCGGAAATGTACTTGACTTTATGTTGATTACTGCCATTAATTAATTAACTACTGTACTAAATAGGGCATTCAAGGTTGAAGATATATAATAGCAATAGAGGTTGCTATCATTGTAGCTTTCAGGGGCGTCGCTAGCCCAAATTGTCAGGCATTTGGCAATTTATTGTATCGCAATCAGGAAATTATTTTCGTGGCCAGCATGATTTGAATTGGATAGGAAGGGAAATATATGAGTTTTTGTTGCCCCTCCCCTTCTCAGAGTAGGTATGTGTTGTTTTATAGTGTAAATAACAAGTTTTGATATTGCAATCAAACTGACAGGGTAGTTGTCATGACCATGGTAATAAAAATATTTCTATGGCTTGGCATAATTACATTGGGCAATTTTTTATCATTCATCACAAAATTATACCTGCACCCTAGGTGGTTCCCTGCAGGGGGTCATAACCAGGGGGAAGCTGATGAAAATGAATTCTGGTATTGGTGGCTGATCACTATCATTTAATATTTTTGTGAATAGAACATTTCTTTAAAAAAGTATATGAATTTATTAAAAATATTTATATGGTTTCCCAATCTGGAATTCATACTTTGTAACATTTGGATCAAAAGGTTTATGACGTTTTCTTGGACAGAATCCAATTAATACAACCTCGTACAGAGGGCAGGGCTTCTTTGAATTACTGTGTGGACAAGATTAATAAAGGGATTGCCTTGGCATATTGTACTACTCAATAAATTAAAATCGTTAAATACTTTCTGCTACAATTAGCTGTAATATTATACTGTATATTATTGTGTTTCATATGATGTCATAAATTTGACGGGGGGTCAACTCTAAATCGAGACACAATTAATACAACCTCGTACAGAGGGCAGGGCTTCTTTGAATTACTGTGTGGACAAGATTAATGAAGGGATTGCCAATTTGGCATATTGTACTACTCAATAAATTTACTGTAAATCATTAAATACTTTCTGCTACAATTAGCTGTAATATTATACTGTATATTATTGTGTTTCATATGACGTCATAAATTTGACGGGGGGTCAACTCTAAATCGAGACACAGTCATCAGAGTGAATTAATTTTTCACTGTATGTGTTGGCCTTGTGTTTGGTGGCAAATACATGCAATTTCATATCATTTGCT